GTGTACATCAGATATCTTTTCAAAGTAAGAAATGTTTTCTTTTACATACAACAAACTTACCAAAACATACAGAGATGGAAATGTGAGAATGTTAAGACCCACAAAAAGGGGCTTACAATGTGTTCTATTCACACTACAAATTAACCTCACCGCCTTCTTTTGTAAAGTAAAAAGCAACCTGTTAGCATAAAAACTGTTGGCCCACAGTGAGGTACCATAGGACAAATAGCTATGAATGTGGCCATAATATATACAAATAAGGACATCATCTGAAACAGTGGACCTAAGTGCTCTTATTATAAATATGCCTTTTACAATTTTAGATGCTACAAAATCTACATGTGAAAACCACTTCAAGTTTGACTGCAAATGAAAACCCAAAAACTTCAGAGTGTTTACATAGTTACCATCTATAAGTATAAAAGAGGATGTTTGTATATTTGTTTGTTTGGCAGTGATAAACTCAGACACCGCTAAACCGATTGCCACGAAACTTGGTACATACGTGTAGAATGTCATGGAATAGGTTTATACACCATCAATTTCGTGATCCGTCCAATTGGCTCCGCCCCAGTGGCTCTGGAGTTTCCCATGTTAACCTTATGAGAAATGGAATTAATGAATCTTAACAGCTGTTTCAATTAAACAAGTTGGTTCTGTTCTATAATGTTAAATAACATTAAAGTTACAATGATTATCACTATTATTCCTTTTACATTTATGACGACAGCTAATTTTCAACCAAAAGGTGAGTGAGCGTAGCGAACGAACTTCTACCTGGAGGCGAGTGAGCGTAGCGAACGAGCTAACCTGAAGCAAGTGAGCGTAGCGAACGAGCTAACCTGAAGGCAAGTGAGCGCAGCGAACGAGCTCCAACCTAAAGGTGAGTGAGCGTAGCGAACGAGCTCCAACCTAAAGGTGAGTGAGCGTAGCGAACGAACTTCAACCAGGACGTGATTGAGCCATGCGAAAGAGATCATCTTGAAAATTAAGAAGTTAAACGGGGCAAAGCCCGCGGATTACAGCTAGTTACTTATAAATATACAGTGTGACAATTAAGTCTTTAGGACGAATTTATATCTGTAAATAAAAATGAGGTATCACAACCAAATTTTGTATATCATTACTGGTAATAGTAAGCAATTTTTTTTGTATATGGTGATCGGATGTCCCCTATGCCCGCCCTTAGGGAGTAAGTTGAAAATCTTAAAGGTAAGCATGGGTTGATATGCACATCAAATTAAAGTTCTTGTTGAACTAAAACAATGCCGCAAACAAGATCTCAAATGGACAATCGAGACAAAAATTACAAAAGATTCATTGAATTTGCAATGTTATTATACGCTACCTTCTCAGGTCTGCCCCGCTAGAAGAAGGAAGAAAATAATAAACGTTTACATAGGTTGATATCCACATCAATTTGAAGGTCTTCTTAGTAGAATACAATGCCGGTGCTGTAAATTTGAGCTAAAAAAAACAACTGAGTAAAAAATGGCGGTTTCTAGAAATCTCTGAAGGGCTGCCATTTTTTATTTGGTTCTCCATTTGCGATCCGGCTTGCAGCATTGTTTTCAGTTTAACAAGACCTTTAATTTGATATACATATCAACCTATGCTTACCTTTAAGATTTCCAACTTACTCTCTACTCTATGGGTTGTTCCCCATATGTGACATCCGATCATCATGAACACCAAAAAGTAGCTTACTGTTACCAATAAAAACATACCAAATTTGGTTGGTTTTAAAGATATAAAGTAGTCCTAGAAGACTTATTTGTCACCTTGTATATTAGTTCTCTTTACTGTTTATGGTAAGTTTTTTAATAAATACCATGTTAGCCTGACTAAAGTAAATTTAAACATAAAATGATTTTAAACAGCATACTACTTTTTTACTACGTTACTTGTTATTTCATCTATATATATATATATATATATATATATATATATATATATATATGTATACATGTATGCAAAAAAGGCCCATTCATCTAAGCTAGACAGTACGCTACTGTGGTGATGGTAATTCTATCTTCCTTTGTTGCTGGTACAGTGGTAATGACTTGTGTTTATCTGTCATAAAGCCAACTAAGTCATGGATATTGATTGTGTCTACCGTCACTATTCCGTGGACCGTGACGGTCAGTGTTTTTTTCTCTACCTCAATTTTTAGAACTGATTTTAAATTATAGGATTGAAAGCGTTATTTTCCCATCAGATCAGGCATTTAGCTATTTTGTATCAATTTTCAACTATATGTGTATTACACGTTTATAAAAGTACAATATTTTTATTGAGTTTCAAACAGCAAGTGAATCACATATAAACATTTAAATTTCACCCCAATTTCATAGAAATCAATAAATTTGAGTAACAAAACAAAATACTCTTACAAAACTGAAATCCATATTAGGCTCTAAGATGGTTATTTTAATAGAATCTATAATAGGCTAGCATGTTTCTTTAAAACCTTTTTTCTCAGCTTGTGTGCATCCAAGGCCCCACTAGAAAAACAGGCCATGGTGCAGGATCCATGACGTCACACTAGTGGATAGATTTCATTGATAAAATTCATTGCCATCACCGTTCCCATATGTTTTAGAACTTTAGGTAAATAAATAAGCTGGCTGTTTGTAAGATTTTAATGGTAATAGTTTAGTACAACTACCCACTACTGTGTTGCGCTGCCCGTGCTGCAGCATGGCCTGTTTTTTCTAGTAGGGCCTTGGAGCATCACAGGGAAAATCTAATGCATACTGTTAGAAAGATATTTTCCTGTATATGTCCAAAATCCCTTTAAAAATTAAATTAGGCTAAAAAATAAGCATAATTTTTATTTTTATTTTTATTAAAGTGGGCCTTATGGGTTGCCATGCTGGTGACAAAATAACAACAAAATATAAACAGAAAATCAAAACAAATGGAAGAAATTCCAATCACGTGGTATGTTAATAACAATATCCTTCACAAGGACAGTGGAATTCCGACGGTTGAAGAGGAAATAACAAAATTTAGTACAAAATATCTAAAGAAGCTTGAAAATCACCCCAATCACCTGGCTCTAAACCTTTTGGACAACAGTACCAGTATATACAGGCTGAAAAGGATTCATGTCTTGGACCTAAGCTCACGTTTTGTTTGAACAATTTAATTTTCTCCTGTTTATTTACTTATTTATTTTTTCATTGAAATATTTTTAAGTTAGATCTGCCAATGGACAGAGACTAACTAACGTTTTATTAATAATTGTTATTGTATTTGCTGAATGTTCAAAAAATGAACAGATTGTAAATAAAATTGTGATAAAAAAAAATTTTGTATTGACAGCAATACAACAGGAAAAACATAGGTGTGTTATTCATAGCTGACGTCACCCAGATTGCAAACAAAAATCACCTGATTGTATAGCCATATAAATACATACAGTTAGTGATGTGGGCCGGGTAAATACCCAGTGGGTAGGTAAATATAAATTGGGTATTTACCCGGGAATTTACCCCAGGCCCAGGTAAATACCCAAAAACCCGATATTTATAATTTTTATTAAAGTTAGAGAAGATTGAGATGTTTTTTGCAATTATCACCCTGTAAGGATAGTAAAATGATGATAAAATGTGTTAAACAAAATTTCATATGGTCAATATTTAATTAATAGTCATGAAGATTATTATTGAAAATTTTCCTCAGTTGTATTATGATTAGAAAGTTTATATTATAAACACACAGCATGAAAAGTCCTTTGTAATTTTTATTTTTGACAGAGCAGACATCAAAATTGCATTATGCAGGTATGTAATAACTATTATACATATAATAATATACAAAAATTTTAAACGATAATCTAGGTAGGGTAACCCATGAGACTAATAATTTGTACAAAATAATTACTAGAATATATATAGGGGCTATTGTCCCTACAAGCCACTACTTAATATATATATATTTTAATCTAATATATAAAATTCTCGTGTCACAGTGTTTGTCTGCAAACTCCTCCGGAACGACTTCACCGATCGTTATGAAATTTGGTGTGTAAATTCTGTAGGTATGCGAATCGGACGTAAACTATTTCCCGTTTCGAAATTCTTAAGGGCCCCAGTGGTTCTGGAGTTTCCCATGTTAACCTTATGAGAAATGGAATTAATGAATCTTAACAGCTGTTTCAATTAAACAAGTTGGTTCTGTTCTATGATGTTCAATAGCATTAAAGTTACAAGGATTACCAACAGGGTGCAGCACTATTATTTCTTTTACATTTATGACAACAGCTAATTTGCAACCAAAAGGTGAGTGAGCGTAGCGAACGAACTTCAACCTGGAGGCGAGTTAGTGTAGCGAACGAGCTAACCTGAAGGCAAGTGAGCGCAGCGAACGAGCTCCAACCTAAAGGTGAGTGAGCGTAGCGAACGAGCTCCAACCTAAAGGTGAGTGAGCGTAGCGAACGAGCTCCAACCCAAAGGTGAGTGAGCGTAGCGAACGAACTTCAACCTGGAGGCGAGTTAGCGTAGCGAACGAGCTAACCTGAAGGCAAGTGAGCGCAGCGAACGAGCTCCAACTTAAAGGTGAGTGAGCGTAGCGAACGAGCTCCAACCCAAAGGTGAGTGAGCGTAGCGAACGAACTTCAACCAGGACGTGATTGAGCGATGCGAACGAGATCATCTTGAAAATTAAACGTAACGGTACTTTCTTTCCATCGGTCTGTCTTAGGGGAAACCTATAACTTAGGCGATACGAAGTTCGCCGGGTCAGCTAGTAGCTATATAGATTTAGCCCCATGTTAAATTTCCCTAACAAAAGTCAAATTTCTATTTTTGACCCAATTATCATAAATATTCTCAAAATACCAATAAAACCTGCACATATAGGACCAATAGCCTTTCTTTTGGTACAACCCGCATATAAATCTGCCCCATAGTATGGTCAGGGTGGCTGTCATTACCTTCAAAATTTGGCAACATGTTAAATCTCCATAAGACAATTTTAACAATAAAAGACATTACTTGTTGGTATAAAAAGTTTATTCTGATGATGGCATAAAAAATATAGGTAACAAAATACTGTACAGTTGATTTTCAATATACATTCATATCGAGAAACGCTGCTAACATCAACTGTTCAATAAAATACATAGATTTTCCATGTATGTACACTAGTTTGTACGTATTAAGCATTTTGTAAAAAAAATGATATTTATTGTATTGTTTCTGCAGTGTGTTCACACTACAGCAAAATACTGATCAACACTGAACTAGGATAAGAAAGGAACTCTTTGACTAACGATAATGACATTACAATTATGTAAACTATAAATTACAATTTACATTTACATACTTACAAGGTAATTTAACCTGCTTACGCATACAATGTTATAAACGGCAGTAATTGATAACTGATAAAATATTATTGTAATATTTTTGTAATAACCAAATTCAATAAGTAAGTTTCCAAATTCAAGTTTATGACTAAACGACACGCAGGTATACTGAATGTTAACACTTCTGAAAATCCCCTTAAGACTATGCTTTGTGGTCAGTGTCAGAATACATAGATTTTTTCTGTAAAATTAAATACTGAATACATTAAACACTGTTCAGTTTACACTGAATAAATCAATGAATTTTAGAATTCCCAATACTACAACAGGTAAAGGTGTTGAAAATGGGATTGTGGCCTTTGTTGAAAATAAAACCAAAATTTTAATGAGCCTTAAATTTATCTGTGAAAAGAAAACAGCAACTTTAAGACATCACAAGAGCACAGTCAATGTTGGTCAACTGAAACCAATATGTAGGGATGGACAAGTCCCAAAATGTGGGGAAATTTTCAGGGAGAACATATTTTCCTTTCATCAGGATGTGATTACATTTGATATGGGGTTTGATACGATGGTCGGTAATTCTGCCACATTGCAAATGACAATGATGCAGTTTTCGCAACAGTGGGATATATCGCTGGTATGGTGGGTGACGATGATTATGTCTCAAATGTTCACAACGATTCCGCAAAACCAGGAGCAATGACGATGTCTCTGTAATCAGATATGTATATCAGATGAAGTCGCGAACGCAGGACATGTCGATGATCACGTTGTGACCGTGTCATATCGACGATGGCATCACGAAAGAATAAATGTGCTGCAGAAGGCGAGACTTGTTGATGGCAGCTGTGACCACGACAAACAAACTCTCACACAATGGTGGCGTGGATCGATTATAGACGATGATGACATTGTGTTGGGTATATATTACAAAATCAATGATTTTTAAAGATACCTAAACTATTTTTCTACTAATTATCATATAAGCTACAAAGTTTTTAAAAATGCACTGATATTTAGTTTGTGAATACTAGTTTGTACTTAGCTATGTATATTTTATAATGAAATTGATGTTTAACAGTTAAATTGTACCAAATATGAAATTTTATAGTCACAAGTTTTTGTTATACCTGTGTATTTCTACCCATTATTGTTGTTTTTTAGAGCAGTGCCACAAAGGCTAAAAATTTATTTTGTCTGTCATTTTTTCAGATCCGCTATAATGTTTACTTAACATTTTTAAAACAAACCCTTTTTTGCACAGAGAAAAAAATCCAGTCCTGTCCCGTCCCGAAAATTGGGAAGGAAATAACAATCGGTTCAATTCCTTCAATCCTGTCCATCCCTACTAATTTGTTACATAAGAAGGTTAGTGACCATCAATGTTTGGAACAATAAATATTTGTTTATGAGTTTACTACTGGCTTGTACAAAAATTATGAACAAACTTAAATCTAGTGGTAAATTATTTGATTTGTTACAGATCAATTGTCAACTACCTTGTTGTTTCACTTTTAATCAAATAATAGGTGATAAATGAACACATGAGGTCACATAAATGGGTAGCTTGAAGAACAAAAGTATGAGTTATGTAAATAAAACCTAATGGATTGGGGACAGTAAAACTGTTGTGTGACATATTAAATTTGGAACGCTTATTTTTTTTTAAACCTGTCAATTTGAGCTTTTGGTAAATACTTTGTTTTCACAGTTTTTAAAGCTTGAAATAGAGAACCATCATCTGGAAGAGAAAAAAATAATTTGAAATTTAAATGCAAAATATGATTAAAGTTAGTAAACAAAATTTTATTATTCATAGCTAAAATGACATAAAAAATACCTAACAAGGAATTCTTTTGATGGTTGAGTAGCAGTTAAAAAGTGTAATATTTTGTTGTAAGCTTTAACTTTGGATAATAATAGATGTTGGGAAAAGTGCTTAGTTTCTGAGGTTCCCGACACAGGTGTCTTGTACAGCTAAGCTTGCATAGGCTATTGTATGCATATTCATAAATTTTGTGAGCACTATGAATTCAATTAATTTATAAAAAATCAAAACTTGTTTTAAGTTCAAGTATTAAATTGCATTATTTTGCAAAGAATAAATAATTACAGTCCATTCACAAAATTTAAGCAGATAGAGGGGAAGTTTTTCTGGGTTCCCTCACCACATTTTTCTTAATGTATGATACAGCTGATTAATAGTTTGAGCTTATAAACAGCTTTCGAAGGTAGGGATAAGTGGAGGGGATGTGACTTGCTTCCTCTGCAACCACCTAAATGTTTTTGAACGGAGTATAGGTCATCATTAATGGTTATAAAATATAGTTTATATGTATTACTACTTATCACATTGCCTCTTTAAATTACAATACAACCCATATACTTTTTAGAGAAAACGTTTAAGTATAGAATGTTATAACAAACCAAACTACATATATTTATTTTACATTAGTTTTATTACTTTGAGATGATTTTAAACTTTAAATAAATGTGTCAGGAAATAATTTGAGCTTAAATAAATATATATTTTAATTTGATTGATATACAAAATTGTATTGAATTATTTTAAAAAATACATTATTTCAATTATAATACATTTTAGAGCTATGAACTGGATACTGTACAAGCTGATGAGATTAGTGTTTAGTTAACTAGTGTACTCAAACATTGACAGGTTTTTATAATATTAATGAAACCATCCAAGTATTTTAAGCACAATAACGTAAGGCTGACTTGTCTGGATCCTTTCCACCAACTAAGTTGTGAATTAAATGAAAGTGTGCTATAAGCTTGGGATGAGTCATAACTTATATAAACTTATTTTAAAATTTACATCTTAAGCACTAGACAGTCACAATCTATGATACATTAAGTCCAAAAGAAGATGTCTAATAAATAATATGCAGCAGAACCTTCACTCCTAATAGCAGTCAAATAACGTCATATAGAAAAATACTTTGCATGAGCAAATCAATTGGCTATTTGACTACGGCATCAATTAACTAATTTTTAATCTTTTAATTTTATCATCAAAAGATTATCAAACCCGAGTATAGGAAGGTTCTCCTGCATCACAGAATTGGCTTAGGAGTAAAATCACATTCTTGCTTGATAACGTAAACATGGTTTTTGAGTGCTGTAGATCGATTACCACACAGGCAGGCAATAGTTTTTTTCAACAAGGTAATTCCCGAGATCCTTCCCATTATTTAACAGCACCAAAACTTGAAGTTGATTGTTTTCTTCTTGACTGAAACAAATTTCTAGTTGGGAAACCTTCATATATGATTTTGAAACCCACATTACCATGGCATTTATTACTTTAGCAGGGTGTCTAGTTTATTTTCATTTAAAAATTCAAGACTAATTCCAGACTTTTCAAGACTAATTCAAAATTTTTCAAGAATGGTTTTTTCAATAAATATGGAGTGTCAATACCAAAATGTATCAATTCTCATTTCTTGATACCGATAACAATGTTTATTTATAGTATAACAAAATTTTCTAAATAATTTGGTTGTACTACACACACTATAAAGTATTATTAAGATGATGGTTTTAAAGTAAAGACAAATAAAAATAAAAATGCAGCAATAAAAAATTCTAACTAGCCAATTAGGGTTTTTTTTATCATGAAAAATCCGCGGACGTGTAGACATCATCACTGACTTCCGCGGTTACGGAAACGTCATCGTCATCGTCCGCGATCGCGGCAAAATCAAGAACATCTGCCAAAATTGCCACTCTCCCAACTACCATTAAAAAATCACAAAGTCAATTAAGTAGAAAAGAAGAACTGTCAACAAAAACACCATAAATCTATTTAAAAGCAGGCTCCATGAACAACCCTGGGACTGCGACTACCACATAGAATATGTCAATGAATCTTATAACAACTTTTACAGGGCTATCCAAGGAATACTAAATGAGATGTGCCCAGTAAAAATTACAAGAAAAAACAACACAACCAAAAAAACTGCTGGGATGCCGAATGCCCTAGACAAAAAAAATCTCTATATAAATTACCTGGAAAAAGAAAACTGCACAGGTCTACCTGAAGATAAAGCAGAAACCGCAGCAAGAAAAAAGGACCATGACCTATGACTACAGACTTTGAGGAAAACTCAAACATCCGACTATATCAGCAATGCCGACAACAAGTCCAAGGCACTCTGGCAGGTAATAAACAATGAAAGAATATCAAGTACCAGTATAGCTAATGAGTGGGAACTCCTAGTAGATGGGGAGACATTACAGGACCCAATCAAAATAGGAAACCATCTCAACAGTTTTTTTGCTACAGCTGCGTAAAGGACACTTCAGGCCAACAACTCCAACACACACACCAGAACCCCCAAAATTCCTCCTTTAACTGATAACAAACTAAAATTTCCGCTTGCAACACATAACGAAATACTAAAAGCAATAGACTCACTTAAACTTAAACCAAAAACTTCATCTGGCACTGATGAAATATCAGCCAAACTGGTCAAAACATGCAAAAATGAACTGATTAACCCACTAGCAGCACTCAAAAATAAGGCTCTCAAACAAGGGGTCTTCCCAACACAGCTGAATACTGCCAAGGTATACCCTAAATATAAAAGTCAACCAAACACAGATGCTAAAAGTTACAGACCAATTTCACTTAAACCGACCTTCTCTAAGATCTTTGAAAAAATCGTCCTTCTATCAGCTAATATTCCATCATCGTCAGACTAATATCCCAAAATCTGCTGCTCACCAGCCAGCAACATGGCTTCCTTAAAGGAAGATCCACTTCCACTGCCTTAATACAGCTCCCCGACCACATAATAAAACAATTAGAGGATGGCTCCTCAGTCACAAGTCTGTTTCTGGACTTTAGCAAGGCCTTTGACTGCCTTAACCACAAGACACTTCTTAGAAAATTGGGAGCTCTGGGTATTGAGGGAAAGTCTAAACAATGGTTCCACTTTTATCTTAATGACAGACAGCAACTAGTTGAGATTCAGCATGTAGAAAAAAAACACTCACCATAAAATACTTTCCGAAATTGTCCCTATACAAGAGTGGAGAGTGTGGAGAGGAGTACCACAGGGATCAGTTCTCGGACCAGCTCTGTTCCTCCTCCTCACAAACGACCTACCAAAACTAATGTATGCAGATGACACTGTCATCACACTAACTGATAAATCAACAGAAGCTTTAAGCCAAAACATTAATAAAACCTTCAACATGACTAAACAATATTGCACAGTAAACGAATTGGCTCTAAATGAAAAGAAAACTGTTCAGCTGAACAACTCCACTAAAAATAAAGACACAAACTTATTAATCCCTGGGATAAAGTTGACCGACTCTGCAAGAAGCTATGCTCTGGCATTTACGTCATCAGGCGAGTGAAGCAGGTTGGTGGCCTGGACACCGCAACAACAGCATACCATGCCCTGGTCAAGTTACACCTCAGGTGTGGTCTGGTGGTCTGGAAAATTGCATCCAACAACTATCTAAAAAGAGTCCTTATCCACCAAAAAAGAGCTATAAGATGTCTAGCAGACCAAAAATATCAAGGAAGCTGTCGTGATGCATTTAAGGAACTAAAAATCCTCAAACTGACATCACTTTACATCCGTGAGGCAATTCTCCATGCCATCTCCACAAATCAAACAAGAAACAGAGACATTCACCATCACAATACACAAAACGCCTCTAGCTTTGCAATACCACCTCACCATTAAAGGGGCCCTGTATTTCACCAACCTACCAGAACAACTTAGAAATGAACAAACTCACCGTTTCAAGAACCAATTAACAACATGGCTGCAAGAAAGGCCATTCTACTCAGAAAAAGAATTCCTTGACAACCAGCTTTAACAACACATTAAATCCACAAATTTGAGTTATTATTCTGACGCATGCACTGATCTATTCCAGGGACCCAGAAACGTGTCTAACTTCAGCTTAATTTAGTTCATTTGACCCTAAATAATAAAATATAAAACAACATCTTAGATCCTTAATTTGAAAAAGCAATCTGTAAGGTAGACTTTGGTTTGGACTGTTCCCTCACAACAAAACAGTAAATGCCGATAGTGTTGAAACAAATCAATAAGTTTATTGATGTCACTCAAACCAAATGTGACTATCTTAATAAGGGACTGTTGAAGGTAGCAGAGTGGTTATAATCATAGACTAAACAATACAAGTAGACTCCTCATCCCATTATAAATTTGAAGCTTGTTTTTTGTGTCTAGTTCATGTACGTCCACACTGATCGCTGGGGTTATTATTTTAGGGCTATTTTCATGATTTGTGCTTTACTATTTATAACTAGGAGACCAGTTATTTTTGATGATTATATAGTTTTATTTTGTTAAATCAGGTTTTAAATTACTGAAATAACAAGGAACAAATTGTAAACAAAACACGACCTCTACAGTTGGACGTACAGAACTAACATTTTAATTGGCTTCAGCTAGGGGTCTGTGGTGCACCGATAAAGTCGGTACGGTACGATACAAGCCTAATTACCGCCGTCAGTTTGGTACAGTATTTTACTCTGTACATTTTCCGTTCGGTACAGACTTTAACAATTAATTACTTTCAATTCACTGTCGTTGGTTAGGAGCACATAAAATGGTTGATCAGATGTTTGTTTAGAATTTTCATAATTTATTACTAGGGTAATGGGGCAATAAAAACTCCATTAGCAGTCCCAAAACCATTGATATTTTATGACGATAGGCAAGTCAAGTACTTCCAAGAACTCGGTGAGTCAGTAGTTTAGTTCATTAGAGTGTTATCACTTTATTCCTTCCCAACTTCCATGATTTATTAAATTTTATGTTTAAAGAAAAAGTCAGAAAAATATTACTAGAAAGGCAAAACAATAGAAGGGTGGGAGGGGTTGGATAATGACTTCTAAAGGAGCAGGCCACAGTGAATGGTGAAGGTGCGGGGGGGGGGGGGGGAATATATTTAAATTAATAACATGATTTGCGTTTTTACATCAAAATACAACATTGCACAATCATGATATTTAGATCATTGGCCTTTGGTTGTGTTGTTTCAGAAGAGAAGCATAATTATAAATTGTTTTAGTTTAAAACAATTACTTTGTAAGCCTATAAAACATTAAATAACTCATACAGATAACAACATACAAAGTCATTATTCTTTAATTCTTTCTGGGGTTTCCCTTCATTCACACATTCAACAAGTTGCCACGGTTACTAATCAGCCTGTTAGAGACTATTAAGCATTATGTAGCCTATCAGCAAACTTTTATCATCACTTATTGATAACAGAGCATTTTTTTGAGTTTTATATTTTACTAGCTGTCCTACCCGTACCGGGATGAAATAGGAAAATGTAATCTTTAAATTATTATGTTGTAAAAATATAATATGTACCGTATAAAATATGTTGTAAAAATATTTTAACATCCACCAACACTATAAGAAATAAAACTCAACCATACCACTTTATTTGATATACATTCATGGCTTTTAAATCACATAAGTAGTGGAAACCGCCATTTTTGTTTGGATTATTTTAAATTTTGTATTTGATAAAAAATCTTATCAAATTTCCAGTAAGATTAAATATATACCCTCCTAAATAATAAGGTTTGAAATAAAGAAATAATAAGACAGAAAATTGAATAGAGCCTTTGATAAAAGGAACACCCAGTTATTGTGTTTAGGCCTAGTTAGATATAATTTACCAGTAGTTATTGAACTATCTCATCAAATTGTTGTTTCAAACATAATATTTATTCCTAAAAACTGTTAACTTAAGTTAAAAAACCTCTTTATCATGGCTATGCCTTCCTTATATTAGTAAATAACATAGGTAAAGTCATCTTAACTGTGTTTCTTAACACAATACTGTTAGGAATAAAGGTTTTAATAATGTATGGACTGTAATTGTTGTTAGAAAACCATGAATGTGCGATACTATCCATTTTCATAGTAATGTCAATGTATTAAATTTAAAATATTGGTTTAAATATAATTCTAAAAAGATAATAGGGACAAGTATTGGTAGCCCTGTACCGATTTTGTACCGAGAACCGAGGTACAAAATGTTGTACTGTACCGAATCGTACCGACCTTCAATTTTCTGTACCGCAGACCCTTAGTTATGTGGTTTTAAAATTTTCTAAAATTGTTTTTAAATTGTTACCTTTATAACATTGAAATGCCTGATTTTCAATAAAACCATTGTGTAGAGCTTAAAAAATAAATAATTCTGGATATCGAAGCATTTATTTAAAAATTAAAGGTTACAGAGAAAATTTAAAAAGAACTCTGCGGCAGGGTTATTATTGTAGAATATTAATGGATGGTATAAAATAAACAAATATGCCAAGTTTTATCAAAATATACCATAAACCAGCATTCTTAATAAGAATAACGTGGGAATATTAAAATATTTTTTTAAAATTTTATCCTTTGGTAATAACTGTGCAAAAACATTTCAAAATACTATTTTTAAGCTCTAAAAATGGTTTGAGAGAAATCATAAAATTCTATGTTCTGAGGGTAAACATGAGAAAAAGCAATTTACACCCCATAAAACACCGTTCCCATTGTCCAATCATGCTGGTTTGCAATCTCGTTCAAATAAACATAGGTTTACTTGTTTGTACCAAATTTAATCGGATGGTTTTTGCTGAAGTTATATATACATAGATAAATTTGAGCGGATGGTTTTTTTGGACTCTAGGGACATCAAAACAAAAAAGTAAATTGGTCTTGGGTCCGGGTCTTCCTATGAGACCTACGGTAATAGCAAACACTGCGGCCCTACATAAAGGCAAACAAGGCGGTACCTGGGGCCCCATGCTTTTCAGGGAGCACAGCCGTATTTCAGGTATTAAGAGAGACTCGCTATTGAACTTTGCCTTGAGCCCCTCAAACTCTAGGGCTGCCACTGATAGCTAATTCCTAAAAATCAAAAATGTTGATACTGATCCATCACCAATGATATGCTTTAACCAACTTACCTTTGATAAATCCTTGCAGTGACTACTTGATTTATCAATATTTCTCTTAACATTGCTACACCCTCTTCTGTGGAATGATTATTCAAAGGGTTCACGTTGGCTAAGCAGCATTCAACAGCCTAAAAAAGTAAACCATTATTAATTTATAGTACATTGGTAAGTATGATAAGTTTTGATTATGTTATAATTCAATGCTTGCAAGACAAAGGGGCCTAGTATATATGATAAGCCTATGTACTTACAACCCTTCATCTTGCAAGCTACAAATTTTTGTTCAAGTAGCGACATTTTAAGACAATCAATTTAAGACTGTATTTATCCTAGACACAACACATCTTGATCAAGCTTTGACCTATTCCATTGTAGAGTGCAGTGCAAAAACATCACAATCAAAAAAAGGGAAGGATATCAATAGCTTGATGAATTTTGAATTCAATTTCATAAATTGTTTAAGCATTTTATTTATAACAAGATAGAGTAGTATTTTATATTAAACTTGAAATACGGAAAGTAAATAAAAGAAATGTCTTATAAATCTTAAAACATATATTTACGCTTATACTGTTACAAGACAGTAAATATACATAAAAGATGGTAAGTGGTGATTGATTTCGATTGGACACTCCAATCATCATCAAACCCAATAGGTGAATGATCAAGAAGTTAAACATGAAATGACATTGTACTTTATTGTACATGTTGTGTTTACAGCAGAGCTCACACACCAGTAGTCATTATTATTAACCCTTCCCGGACGGGTGATGGATATATCCACCTAAGTCTTTGGCGATAAAGGACGGGTGGCGGATATATCCGCTTATGGTTTTTAATGTTCCAGACGGGAAGCGGATATATCCGCCTTCTCTTCAGACCGACTGGCAGGAGCTTGAGCAGTAACCAGATGTTTCGCGGTACCAAGGCGCCACTTTCCTGCTCTCTCCATGGCTGCGCTCACTCCCGCACTCCCCCCTCACCTACTCCTCTCCCGCGCCTCCTCCTCTACTGCGGACCCACTACCTCTCCTACGCTCCCCCCTCGACGTTTCATGCTCAACACTACGTTGTCTTTATGTATTGTTTACATATTGTTCTTTATTTATTGCCTAACGCTGTCATGTTCATATCTTCAAAGTCGGGTGGCGGATATATCTGCATAGTTAAAAATGAGTAAAAATTATTTTGACAGTATGAAGTGTTCCATTGTGTTTATTTTATGTTTACTTGTATAACAAAACACAAATAAGGAAAATTAATTTTAATTTCTCCCTTTAATTTTTTTCCCGTTTTATGTCACGATTTCGCCCGCCCGGGAAGGGTTAAGTTATGCAAAATGCAATAATTAAAATAAAATACCTGGAAAGGAAGATGTATGAACCTGTTTTCCATTGATCTCAAGTGTTGATGTTGTACAATGGCTGTGGTGCCATAATCAACAAACATTACCTACAATAAAGACTTTGGTTAAGTTAGTTAACATAATGGTAATGTAATGTCTTGATGAGTTATGTTATTTCTAGGTGTCTAACAAATAAATGTACATCTAAATATTTTTATATGAAATAAATAAAAATCTTGGATTATGACTTAAGAAAGTAAAGTAGGTACTTTAATTGGAAAATCATCATACAGAATTGTCATTGTTAGCTAACTCTGTCTTGTATACTAAGAAGGTGTTTTGTTGCTATTTCATTACTTTTTCGTACCTGCAAGTATTGGAGAACCAATAATATGAGTAGTTTAGAGACAGTATGAAAAGGTTGTAATGAGTTCACATGGTCACATAGCATATCTCATACTCAGTGGTGTCTTCACCTATACTTTTATACTTTATACTTTTCGATGAAATGGCGACCATGACACTAGTACGATGCCACAACGTGGTGGCAAGTTCCTTGGCCAGTTACTATCTCACCAATCACTGTTGGAATGGCCAGTTAACTCACCTCACACTCAGGGATGCCTTCCTCTTCGCTTGTGACACGAGCACGGTGCCACAGCCTTGTGGAAGGTTCTTTGGCCAGTACCATCTCACCAATCGGTGGGGGAAGGAGGGCCAGTTTTTTATAGAACATTACATTCTGTGGATTATTTATCGTATTCACAAGACTAGTCAGAGTCTCTGGGTCTTCCTCAAATTCATCTTCAAGGGAAATACCTGGAAAATAACTTATTATGATCAAAGATCAAAAACTAATTATTTATGCTAAATAGTACATGTGGCTATACTAACGCTGGGTACACAATGTGGAATTTCTGACACGGCGGTAATTTTGTCGTCGCCGCCTGAGAAAATCTGCTTGCTTACACACTGGGCTGCCAAAATAAACAATATTTGAACTATTGGTTTTTAATCATAGAAAAACCTTATGAAAAATAAGTTTTATTTTGGTTGCTCATCTTGTGTTTGCTTGAAACTCGTCCGATTTCAATAACCAATAGCTTAAATTAAAGCCGGTATTTTACTGAAGGTTCTTAGACCAAAATATATAGGTTTATTTTCTGTTTTCCATTTTTATTATAATGAGTGAAGTTACTAGACAGGGTATGGGAAGATCTGCAAGACGTAGAAGAGTAACCAGGAATTTATTTTGTTTTCCGTTTTTATAATGAGTAAAGTAACTAGACAGAGTAGGGGGGGACCTGCAAGACGTGGAAGAGTATCCAGGAATTCAACTGACACAAGAGATGCTGAAAGAGAACGTCATGTAAGGCCTAACTAAGAAAGAAATCCACAACCTGGTTTACAACCTGCCTTCAGAAGAACGCTGGAAAATGAGTTGAGTGTTGCATATCACAATCTATGTCCTCTTAACATGATTCTAACTTCATAAAAAGCTTAAGGCAATACAACAGTGCAATGGCTTTTGCGTCGCTTTCCGCTACACAAAAAGAGATTCCGGGAAATGGGCCTTAATGTTTTAAAATTCAGGGACAAATTCATAGATATATTTCTGTCTTACTACCGCGAAATGGGGAGTTGTCTTCATATTAACAATTGTGTCTAAATTAGGGGCTATGGTCCCTACAGGCCACTAGTATATATATATATATATATATATATATATTGATAGTTCTGTTCACTTTTTAGGGCTACTTTTTTAATTAATAAGCAAAATAATAAAAACCAGAGTACCCTGAAATTCATTTTTTATTTAAACTGATACGTATTTCGGCACTAAGGCCATGATCACAGTATGAGTGTTATGAAAGTATGTAAACAATTAAAATAAATAAATAGTTAATAACATATGTTTTGAATTCATAGTAAAATGTTGATTAAATGGTTAGGTGTATTTTTTTAACATTTTTTCTTACACATCTGCATGTTAAAAAATACACCTAACCATTTAATCAAAATTTTACTATGAATTCAAAACATACTAGTGTACCTGTTGCTCGAATTTGAGCAATTGCGAAGCATTACAGGCGACTCAAAGATTATGGAAATACTCACGATCTACACAACAGTTAGATATAATCAAAATCTTTTGTAAATACCTATCTTATCTTTTTTCGAAAAGCTTATCTTGTTTTTTAGTGTTTTCTACAAATTTTTCCCTCTCATAGCCGCTTTAGGTTGTCTATGACAACGATTATAAATGAAAAAAAATATTTCTATCTCTTCTACTTGGTTGTGTTCTATGACTTTTTCTATGTTTCCATTGTTTGCAAATCGATTATTTCAATGATTGCTCAAGAAATGTAGAACAGTGTTAATTCAGTTTTATTTTTAGCCTATATCAAATTGTCCAGGATTTTTCACTCTTTTCCATTGTAATAATTACACCAACCCAAGTTTCGTCTACAGATGCAATATGCCAACAAATATCACCTACGTACAATTTCCAAGAAGTGGTAAAAAAGGCAGAAACCAACCCATACAATAGATATAAGTTAACTCCAAAAGAAATAATTTTAAGAGTTACTGTGATATTAGGATTTTCCACTGATTTGGTAATAGAACATTATATTGCAAAACATGACACGATGCAGAAGAAAATCCAATTTAAAATCAGAAAAACCCATTGCAAATACTGTACTTCATTTTGACGAATTCAATAAATCACAATTTAAATATTAACAGCTGTTTCATTAAAAAGAAGTGTAGAATTATGCATATGGTCGTAATGTAAACAAATCTGAAGAGGCAACTTTAAAGGCTTCTGGGGCAGAGCCCCAAGGGAATTTACCTCGTTTCTCTGTTGATGGCTCATCTACAGACCAAGATCTTTCTTTAGAGACCCCTACCAAGTTTCTACGCCCAGCCGTTCTCTCAAATTAGCTATGACAAAAACCCCGTTTTCCTCCATAAGAATAACATGGGATGGGAATTTAAAGGCCACTGGGACAGAGCCCCAAGGGAATTCACCATGTTTCTCTTTTGATGGCTCATCTACAGACCAAGGCCTTTCTTTAGACACCTCTACCGAGTTTCTACACCCAGCCGTTCTCTCAAAATAGCTATGACAAAGAAAACCAGTTTCAAATTAATATATAGATGTTATTAACTATTTATTTATTTTAATTGTTTACATACTTTCATAACACTCATACTGTGATCATGTAGCACCAACCTAAAGGTGAGTGAGCGTAGCGAACGAGCTGCAATCTAAAGGTGAGTGAGCGTAGCGAACAAACTTCAACCAGGACGTGATTGAGCCATGCGAACGAGATAATCTTGAAAATTAAGAAGTTAAACGGGGCAAAGCCCGCGGGTTACAGCTAGTATATATATACAAATTTGAACAAATTGTGTTTTTGGCCTCTGGGAACATCAAAATGAAAAAGTAAATCGGTCCCTTGTCTAGGTCTTACCATGAGACCTACGGTAATAGCTACTTCCCTATAGGGAAATTCGCTAAAATTATAGTTTTGTCTGTACATTGCTCAGAATCATAAACTTTAAGGTCATTTTACGTTTTATAAATTAAAGAAACCGAAACAAGTCTCATCTAAATTTCTGTATGTCTGTCTTCCTGTCTGTCACGGCCCAAGAGCCATTTTACGCGGCCTACTCCTGAAAAACGAGAGTACCTATCAAGTTCCAAATCATTTTAATGTATTCACTGGATTGGCGAGATTGTCTTTAGCCATTAAAATATAGCGTCACTACTTTGTTAATGAAATGATGGACGTTTAAAAATCTAATTTTGTGCGGTTTTTTTAAGTTTCCTCCCAATGTTTATCACATATCACCACACTGACGTTCTATGAAATAACGAACAGCTGTTCGAATCAAGATTATTTCTTCTAGCTGTCACTGGTATGTTTACATTTAATGTTGTTTACAAATACCACAAACTTTTCCGATAACATTTTGAAAGCAAATCCAAACCAAGTAAGAGATTAAAAACGTGTTTCCTTACATAACGGATTTAATTAATCGCAAGTTCAATAATTTCTAGGGTAACCGTAAATGAAAATAGAGATTCTTTGTGTATTAAATTGTTCTTGAGTTTTGATAACCGGGAAAAGACCTTGAATCAGTGTTGTACATGGCTTGGAAACTCACATTTTTTAAATGAGCGTTTTCAGTCGAGACTCGGCACACGACTGACGCGCGTCTACATGTCCATAGTAAAAATAAAAGTAGGCCTACCGTATGCATTATGTTTTATTCGTCATGTGTATAAGTGTACAGTTCGTATATGTATTTTAAAAACTTCAAGACGCACCTAATGGGGAAGCTCAAGACCTTATATTAGGACTGATGATGGCGATTTAATTTCGCCGAAATGCATCTCCTGTAATAAGATACATTAGGATCGACCGGCGGACACAGGTAATTCAACCTTTTATTGATTGTCATACCGATCCGGAACAACAACAACATAAAATGAAGTTATTTATAATAGTTTGGCCAGCATATCTGAAAATATGCAAACCAACTGCTGTTCTTTATATAAGAAGGTTTCAACTAAATACTATAAGATCCCCGTGCGTAGAACGGGTACACAGCTAGTAATTCCACTAAAATTCATTAATATCCGTAAAAAAGGTTCATAATCTCAAAAAAAAAAAAAAAAAACAGTTCACGTATATATATATATATACATATATAAGACTATTAGTTACCCGGCACGCGTTGTGTAATATAATATTAACTAGTGGCTTGTATAGGGACATAGATTAATAATATGGAAAAAATTATTCTAATATTTAAACAAACTAAGAAATATATTATCTATGTTTCATAATAGATATCACTGTACGCCATATCTTTTGTGTAAAAAAGAGTTGTTTGTCTTTGTTGATGTTTTTTTTTTTCATTAAATCAATCGAATAACCGTTTAACACTGCTAAAGACAGCAAACATATGATGAAAAATATGGCGGATCCAAGATGGTGGCTAACAATTTAAACCCTGTCAAAATTAAGTACTAACTACTCCACAATGATCTGACGTAGTCTGGAGTTGTTATCTTAATGGGAGTCAAAGTCGAAATTTTTTAATTTTTTTACAATTTTTACTTTTTATGTTCTTTTTATAGCACAGAATTTCTTCTTTAAAATGGTATACTTACATTTTTGATTACAAACCTAGAAATTCATTAAAAAATATATTTTCCATAACATTGCAGTGACGTTTTAAAGGTAAAACCAGTAGACCCTTGGTTGACCCTTGGAGGCTTTTCTTGCCGATTTCCGCAACTTTACTTTTTTAAACTTTAATGTCATTTTTTTCAGGACTGGTAATACATACAGCTGTGAAATTTTTACCATGTAGTCTTAGTGACTTATTCTAAACACAGACATAAGGAATTCATCATATCTTTTGTAGAAGCATGTAAAAAAATAATAACATTTATTTTTGAAACAATTTTTTTTTAATCTATAAAAACCCATAAAATAGTAATTTTTAATTTTAAATGAAAACTCTTGTGTCTGTGACTAGTTAATTAGTTAATATAAAAGTATACCAAGTTTCACTATCCTGCCTGCTCTAACTCCTGAGAAAAGTGACATTTAGTTAACATTATTAAAGATAGGACCTCGGACTCCCCTTAAGAAATGTAGAAAAAGTAGGGGGGGGGGACTCATTTAAAACTCACCCTAGTACATTACATAATTGACTGGCAAATAAGTAGGCATAATCCAAATGTTAACATTGCGTACTTGCTTGATGATTAATCACGATCAGCTGTATTAAAGTAAACAAAAATCAGCAGTAAATGGCTTCAAATTATATTCTTATGGAGAACATTTTACGTTATATAAAAGTCTTATATGATGGCTTTATGGGAATTCTTCTATTTTTCCCGAGTCCCTGGGGTCAAGACCTTTAATAATTATAAGACCCCTCCCAAATTTCTGCAACTTAATGATTTAATATTAATTAAATTAAATATAGTAAGTAATATTTAAACTAGCTGGGTTAGTAGCTGTTTTACAATGAAAACAAATTATACTTTTTGAAATCCCAATGTAAAAATGTAATAACTAAGTGTATCAATTAATCACGCCAAATATAACACAATATAAATTTGAACGTATAAGGTAGAATAAGGCATTGAAGAAATATACAACGCATAGCATAATAAATCATCATAATTATTAATACTGTACAAACATTACATAAGTATTCATAAATATGTATAAGCGAAAGTCTTAAAAACTATAATGAATACATGTGATTCATAGTCGTTAATTAATTGTTGAATATACTTCAACTTCCAGTAGCACATTGTGCATTATTTACCACAAATAATTGCGTAGTTGTGTAATGCAAATATATAACATGTATATTTTACCCAAACCTACATTTATTCCAACGAGTTCGCAAACCAGCATGATCAAACTATGGGAACAGGGGTTTATGGGCGGTTTTAAAGGGTAAAAATGGGATTTTCTCGTTTTTCACCAATTTTTCAATTTCTTTCCAAACAATTTTGTAGAGCTCAAAAAAAATAAATAATTTAGTACCTATATTAAAGGATTGTTGTATGCCTAACGGTTACAGAAAATTCCCAAAAAAGTGTAAATTTAAAATTACCATGTTATTCTTATGGAGAATAAAAAAACTATTGTAGCTACTTGCCTAACGACATATTTTAATGAGATTTTGAAATTTTGTTTACTTCAATATTTCAATAAAAAACCCCCTATTTTCTTTCTTGTAGCAGCAAACCTAAGTACTCATTAAAATTAATGATATTTAAATATGAAATAAATCTGAGAATTTTAAATTAATAATTTAGTAGAATTCCAGCCAGGTAGATGGAAATTCATTTAGTCTGCAGGTTTGCTGCAGCGGTGGTATTTAAGTAATGGAAAACACTTATTTATCTAACAATATAGTTTTAAAATAACTAATTGATGTCCACTTTTTTCAATATTTAAATGCATTTAGGAAAGTGGTCCACACCCACTGTTTTGTGGATGATGTGCCGGAATTGAACCCATCCCTCCCGCACCCAAGTCTGGGACGCTAACAACTCGGCTAGCAGCACATCCTACAACTTATAGTTTGCATTAATAATGTGTATCATTCTCTCTATTCCGAGTTACAATAACCAACAATAACGACTTAAACAATTATATCTCAATACTAATAGTTACCTTTTGACTCTTCCAGCTGGGCATAGAAGGTAGTGATAGTTTCTATCTGGGTGATTTTTAACTTCACAATTTCCCCAGCTTTTGGCAGATTTATCTGGGGAAAACTCTCGGCATTATACATTTCTATTTTGTCAGTAGTTACACCATCTAAAAAAAAATAATAATAATAAAGACACGTAATGATTTAAACAAATAAGAACTAAACTGTAACTCAAATAAAAGAAAGGAACTAGTAAAAACAATTTTGCTACAAGATTAAATTACAAAGATTTCCAGTGGATTAATGTCAGTCCAGCAACTGAGCTCAAAGGAATTTCTGCACACATGTGAAAAGCTTGTCACATTGATTTTTCCGGTGGGTTTTCGAAAGGTTCCAAACAATGAAACCAGATTTTACTATGTCCCTGAATATTAGATGTACATAACACAATGGCATCCTCCACACTTGTATGCACGCTTACTGACACTGACACTCCACAAAATATGGTGTGTAGAGGTTATTGATAGTCAATTCAAACAACAAAAAATTTAAATATAAAAAACAAAACCAAAATTAAACAAAAATGTCCCAAATATTAAGATCTCGAAGCAAAATTTTTACTCTCACCCAGACATAACAATATAATTAATAAAACAAGGTGTCCAGCGTCCCATCAAAATACAATTTCACGTTTTCCAGGTACAAAATTCAAAATTAACAGGACAAAACTAGCCACTCATAAAAAGCAAAATTTAATTGTTTTTACCTCTTACCCTTGTTCCTGCTACCCTGTTAGTACACATTAAAACCCTCTCTGCAAATTACAAGATAATTTCATGCAATTGCAGCCACATCGGTGTCCTACGATCGCAGCAGCATCTGTGATGATTTTCTGCGATAGTGGCAGCATCTGTGATGATTTCCTGCGATCGCGACAACATCTGGGATGATTTCTCGTAATGTCAGATATTCAAGTGTTTTGTGATCATTTCTTGAAATGGCTGCAAAATTCAAGACAATTTCTTGCAATCACAGCAACACTTGTGATAACGTCTTTGGATTGGGGCAAAATTTGTATATCTTCCCACCAATCATGCCAACACCTTCAATTGGGGGGCAACGGTCCAATGGTAGAACTTGGGGTTTCGGAACCCGAGGTTTTAGGTTCAAATTCCACAAATTACAAATGGATTTTATCCATGTGATAATGTGGCGAACCTCTAGGACTAGCCTGAAGTAATTTGTAAAACGGTATCTGGCTAGTACCTAGTGTCCTAGGATGTAAAGGTAAGACATGAAAAGTCCTGACCAGAAGTTCCATTAAGGCGGATACAGCCGTGATCGCGATAAATTAGCCAAATTTTATCAAACTACATTTATAAACAATAGTTACAAACTACGTACGACAGTTTTGAACTGATTATGTTTTTGGCCTCTGGGGACCTCAAAACAAAAAAGGAAATTGATCCCACTGGGGCTAAGCCTTACCATGAGACCTATTGGTAATAGCCATCCCCTTAATGGAAAATTCGCTAAAAAATAATTTTTGACAAACAAGAGAAATCAAAATTAACTCTTGACACCGACTTCAAAAACATTAATGAGATTATTACCTCAAACGTATAATAACATAATTTCATTTCTTAGAATAAACAAACAATGAAATAAAATTTTTTTCAAGTTTTGAATCTTGAACCGAAACTCTTAAGTTTTGAGATGATTCGAGGAAACCCTCAGACGGAGGGTAGATGAATCAGTTCCTCGCAAGCTATGAAAGCGATCATTTCAAGCGCTCTTACCTTGCTAAATTGTGTATCTAAATCGTGGAGTTCATTTGGTGAAGCGTAGTTAAGTTAACTTGTGTGAAACTTCAAATATAAATTAAGTCTTATATTTAATTAGACAAAAGGTAATCCGAGTTAATTATTGCAGGGTGTAAAATACTATTTTTAAAAATCTGTTTTACTAGATTTTACATTTTCACTCCTGTTAAACCAATGGACTTATGCAAATAGGAGTTGATTAGGATTGTGTTAAGCCCATAATGAAGTGATATTATGAGGACACTTTTATTTAATTTTATTAAGTCCCAAACTATTTTATTTATCTCATCATATGAACAAATTTGTCTTTGAATTCTGAATTTGCAATATGTCGGCGTGGTGAGAGCAAAGGAATGAAAATAGCCTACTTATTTAAAACTTTTATATTCACTGTAATCACGTTCATTTGTTTTGTATCTCTTTACTACTGTGAATTTATTACGCAATAATTGTGACCTGTGTATTATGTATCTGATCTGAAAAGAGAAAATAAACAAATATTCTATTCTAATTTATTAGTAGTCGTCAGTAGCTACTCTAGTTAGTTGTGCGAGATCAGTACATCCCGACCGGCACGCACGGCGTTTGAGCAGTGTCCTTAGGCCTAGGTTTTTGCGACATTTTATGGTTTGCAAACAACATGTTTACCATAGAGTTTTGAGATTATTGTTAATGTTAACTAGAAGAGGATGAATCGTTTGCAGCCTTAGTTACTTTAATAATAGTGTAGTATCATATGCTCCGTTTGAATGGCCTCAAATTTTTTCGTTTGAAGTAGACCAAGGCATTTCATGTACTTCTGTCTGGTAATTTAATCTCTTATTTATTTAACGATGTTTGGTTAGCCATCTTTATCTTTCTTATCTAACAGGGGCAGGCCGAGACCATAAAGCACTTCATCCAAAAAGTCGATTTATAGCTCACCTCAGACATTTGTTTCATTGATAGATCCTACAAATTCAAGCATCCGATGAAAGCCTGTAGTCTTCAAATTGGTTAGGCATGTGAGATAATCCGTGACTAGCCATTTGAATTGTATTTCATGTTAATGATTTGTGTTGGTTCTAATACTTTTTGTGTGATGAGTTTACGATAAGTGATGAGATTGTTTTGGTACGGATTTGGACAGCAAGAAGCTTTGGCAAATAGCTTCTGGTGATGAACAATGCACTGTGCGATGAACACAAGCGACAGACGAGTCGGCGTGGACTCAGCGTGTCTTTTGCAGCTGTGGTAGCATGTTAAACCAACATGGGGTGACAATCATTCCTCGACGTTGGACTCAACGACGCTTCAGTGGCTGTGGTAGGATGGCAAACCTTCCTGGAGTAACGGCCACCACCACGCCACTAGAATCAGCGACTCTTTAGCGGCTGTGGTTGCTTGTTGGACAAACCATTGCAATAGAAAACAACGGTCAGCGAGACTATTGGGGCTGAGTCCAAGTGCGCACTAGTGAATAAACTGTTGTGGTAGAACTTGGCTAAGATGTATAGAGTAAAAGCGGTGAGTCAGACAGAGCGAGCCCCTTTCCCCCTTGCCTATCAAGCTTTCATCGGATGCCTGAATTTGTAAGGTCTATCAAGGAAACAATTGTCTGGGGTGCGCAATAATTTGACTTTTCGGATGAAGTGCTTTATGGTCTTGGCCTGCCCCTGTTAGATAAGATAAGGCCGAGGCGGTGACGTCACTGCAGTCCTCGAGCCGCTACTCACAGCCAGCACACAAATATATCATATTTGTTGTATCACATCAGCAAACAGTCAATCATGATATACTCATTAAAAAACTAGAATTATATCCCTTTTCTGTAAATTCAGCATCGTGGTTAAAATCCTACCTAAATAATCGCCATCAGAGAACAGTAATTTGTAAGGATAATTTAAAAGCAAAATCAAAATGGCAAAAAATTAAAAAGGGTGTGCCTCAAGGTTCGATTTTGAGGCCACTTCTATTTCTTATATATATTAATGATCTTCCAAAAAATGTCACAAATAATCTAATTCTCTATGCAGATGATACTACAGCAGTAGTTAAAACAAAAAACAATGATGAATTAAAACATAAAATTGAAGAAAGTCTAACCGAATTGGGAAAGTGGTTTGAGTACAATGGTTTGAAAATGAATGAAGAGAAAGCCAAATTTGTAAGATTTTGTACATCTCAATCATTGATCAATCCCAACCAACTGATGATAGTGTAAAATTGTTAGGGCTGTATATTGATAAACATTTGACCTGGAGTTAAGTGCATTCAGTCAGTAATTGGAAAATTAAATTCAGCTTGTTTTCAAATATTGTGCTTAAGAAATTCCATAGATTTAAAAACTTCTATCATGCTATATTATGCATACTTTTACTCAATAGCACAATATGGAATTGAATTTTGGGGATTTTCCTCTGAAATTGAAAGAGTTTTTAAAATTCAAAAGAAAATTATAAGAATCATGACCGTTTTACCATGGAAATCTTCATGCAAGACAGTTTTCAGAAAATTGAATATTATGACCATTCCAAATTTAATAGTTTACAAAACATTGTTAGCGGTGCAGTCAAATTTTGATGACTATATTAGTGAAAACTTTGACCACATTTATAACACCAGATTTAAGAATAATTTTCAATACCCGAGACACCGTTTGAAGCTTGTAGAAAAAACTCCTAAATATATGGGGAAAAAGCTTTTTAATAACCTACCCACAACTCTAAAAACTGTAATTCGTAATAAATCTTTTAAAAGCAGCCTTGCTGATTTTCTGACTAGTAAAACATATTACAGTGTATATGAATACCTAAACGAAACCAATGAAACAATATGACGTTTATTTTGTATAAAGTTTCTTATATGTCTTATTCTTACTATTCAAAGAAATTCATTTTTTAATTTTATTGTTCAACAAATATTTTACATCTTGTTTAAGGGTATTTTAGTGCATAAGACATATTATTGTATATTTGAGGTTAGTCTTTAATCATGACAATGTCATCTGTTTTTTTAGCTATGCTAAGATTTAAAACGTTATGTGACAATAATGAATTATTTATTTATTTATTTTAGGGGTCTGCGGTACAGAAAATTTAAGGTCGGTACGGTACAATATTTTGTACCTCGATTCTCGGTACAAAATCGGTACGGTACGCGGCTACCCGTATTTTTGCGGTTTTCTTCCAGGAACTGTATTTAAACCATTATTCTTTAATACATTGACATTACTATGAAAATGGATAGTATCCTACATTCATGGTTTTCTAACAACAATTACTGTACCACACATTATTAAAACAAAACCTTTTACTACTACGAGGATTGTGTCAAGAAAAATCACAGTTAAGATAAAGGCTTTA